GAAAAACAATTATTGATGTTTATGATTAAAGTAAATTAGCAAAAAAGATAACATGTGCCTCAAAGAAGTACAGAGAAAATCTTAAAATCCTGTTTCATGTTTAAATAACATGTGAGCAGAATATTCTGCTGTTGACAGATCCTCTTTTCACATCTACACCTCCTCCCCAGTGTCAGGTATATGAGAGTGGCCTTTCTGAGACCCTAAGCATGATGGTGGACAGTGCTGGCACCTGGGTTGTCGGCGTGGGCCTCATCCCCCCTGTGGCTGTGTGCCAGGGAGAAGAGCTCGAAGCCATCCCAGCCAACCACAACACTACAGTCATCATTCGCTCTCCGACACCAGCGCCTGTGTTAGTTTCTGGACTTCTAATTTTCTTTAGGGAGAGAGTTGCATGTAATATTAATCATTTCTGCATTTAGTACTCCAGCCTTGCTTTATAAAAGTTTTTATCATGTTGTTGCAGGTTCAATTAAGTGCCATCCTAAAGAAAAAGGAATTACAGTGTTAAGTTTGCATTGATATAGTATGAATATACTTTATCTGAATGCCTTTTTTTTTACAGACCAGACACAGCAACATACATTGAGAAGCTTGAGGCAATGAAGAATGAAAAGGCAGAGGGGAAAGATAATCGCACATTCCTGGCAAAATATGTAAGTAAAGTCATTTTGTTTATTTTGGTGTCATCTGTCACCTGTCTTGGCAATGCATTCCTCAAAGATATGCATGATAGTGCAGTCCCTAAAGAAAGATGCCTATGCATATTGTTTAGCCTGCATGTTTTGAATGGGGGTGAATCTTGTAGCAGTCATTTGAGATATCTTCTGTCTACACTAGACATTTGTGTTTCTGTATTGTATATGAGGGTCATGGTTTTTTTCCATTCTAGGATTGCAAAGTCTAGCATTGATCTGGAGTAATGTTTGTTATTAACATAAGCATTCTTTATGTACATTAAAAGTAGTGAAGCTTTACGTGTTTTAAGGAATATTTTGCAGTAGTGAGTAATCTGTGATATCAAAATGTTGTATGCTACTTCTTGAATTTTGTTGTTGTGTTTGGGCAATAAGAAGATTGTTTAATATGATGTTCGTATGCCTCTGTGTAATATGTTAGTAATGTGCTTGTTGATTATTTAAAAATGTAAGCTACTGTGTAAGCATTTGAATGTAATGTTAAGCTTGCATTGCATTCACATAAAAGTAAGTTGAAGTTACTGCAATGTCATATTCATAAGATAAAATATTTATGAATGGGATGTTGTCAGCTTATCAATAGGATAGATTGAATAGGACTACTGAGAGTATGGGGCTCTGTAAGATTCTTATTCATTGATTTGGTGGTAAAGTGCACAGGACTGTCTTCTTCCAAAGTAGTTGGCAAGCCAGCATTTGATGTTGCTGTGTATAGTCAAGTTAAATATTTTGTTTATGAGAGAGTATATAGATTGCCTTAAAGGGTCAACTAATGTTTACGATTATTCTTTTGTGGAGTCTGCTTGGCTTGAAGCTATCATTAGTTTGTCTCATTACTGAAGGACGCAGTTTCATAGCTTCCTTTGTAGGGTTGGGAATTGAAAAGTTTTTTTTTTTTTCAGAAGGTTGGTATTTTGTGATGTTGATTGGAGAATTTGACAATGTTTTGCAATTGTGATATTATGCAAATAAAGGGCTTATTAAATGTTTGAGATATTGTCAGGTCCCATGTCATGTGCATTTTTAAGTGGCCTTATGTATATTACTAAATGCTTGTTCATTATTCATGGGTGTATATATAAATTGGCAAAAATGTTATCCCCTTCACCCCATAATGTTTTGTCTTTTCTTCCACAGTGGATGTATATTGTGCCAGTCGTGGTCATCATGGTTCTCTCAGGAGGAGGACAAGAGGGTGGACGTTAACCCACAATTTGCCTTTTGACAACACATAGACATTTGTTTCTTGTAAAGTCCTCAGCTGTATTTTTTCTTTTATTGTTAATATTATTTTTGTTATTGAAAAATGGCATATTCATTATTCTCATTACAGATTTTTCATATTTGGACTATTTTTAATCTAAAGTTTAGCATGATATTGGGAAATCATCTTCAAAACAAATAGGCAATATGATCTGATATGTATATACAGAAGCACTTTATTTTATTATGTCTGTATTTAAAAGAAAGGTACAAAGAACATGTACTTGTTAGAATGAGTAATGCTGGATGTAAAGTCTCATCAGAAAGGCCTTTAACAGTTTAAAATACAGGAATATGCAAGTTATGTACATGAATTTCAGCCTTTGATAATCCACAGTACCGGAAACAAAAAACTCCAGCATACTCCCAACATCAGCTGTCATCTTCCTCAATATGCAATTCATTTGCATATTAGACCATTCTTTTTAATTCTTCATATACATGAGTCACAAAATATGTTTTCTATTTCTTAATAGTAACGAATCAAGTTTACTGTTATTGTATAAATATCTTAAATCTGACCTTAAATGAAAAGACTAGATTTGGCCAGTGAAGATTTACAGTAATTCTTTGTACAGTGAATTGAATTGTTGTTTAGAGTACAATAAGTGCACCATTCCCTGTTATTTATGTATGGATGCTTGAGTGTGTACAAGGAGCATGTAGAAATAAACAAATTTTCCCTGAACATTTTTGTATATTATACCCTTTTCTCTTCCCTCCCAGTACCTTGCTCATTGTTGTCGTGGGAGGGCTTAGGAGACAGACTGAGGCCCAGTGCAGGGGATCACCTGTCTTGGGCCTCAGCCATTGCCTCAACTAATTTTGCTTGGTCTTTTCTTCTGTCCTCTTCTGTATCTTCATCCCCTTCCTCTATCCCATTCCTAAGGTGTGAGAGCCATGCTAAAAGGATGAAAAGCTGGCTTTGTGTCAGTCATGAACAGCCTCCGGGAGCCATGGGCATGGTATTCCCTTGGTTAATTGCATAGCCCTTACCCCTTATGGAGACCCTGAGGGGTAGACCATTTCTTTTCTCCAGTTTATTCAGGCTCACCATGGCCAATAATGAAGATTCTTTATCCTTAATAGGGGCATTAAGGCTTGGCCCTTTACCAACTAGATTATCTAAATTGAAATTTGATGTTTTTCTGACCCCTGCCCTTCCTTTGACCATGGCTCCACACTGTACCCCCTCTTGATGCTTACGAACAACTTTAACCATTCCAAAACACCACCCAGGTTATTACTCAACCTCCTGAAAGCACCCTTTCTCTTCCCAACATTCTCCTCTCCATCTACCACACATCCTCTTCAATGTCTACCCTCTCTTCCCTTACTACTACTCTTCTTCCTTATTGTCCTCCCACTCACAAAACTACTCCACTCCACCCCATCTTCCTCTTGCTCTCATCCTTGTACTGCCTCTACCTCTGCAAATGTTCTGCAAACCCACAGCCCCCTATTCTGAGAATACCCTTCTCTTTCAACAGTAACTCTAGAAACAAGTAGGCAAGGTTACTTTTCACAGTTACATCTGAATGCCAAGCTCATGCACTGTCTACCCTAACTGACCTTAATGGCAAACCCATTCCTGCTGAACCTCACCCCTCTCTTAATACTTGTACTGGAACTGTTTTTATCCCCCCAAATGCTAGTCCTATCTACAACAAGGACTAGTTAGACTGTGAAAAAGACCTACTTACCTGCCTTGCTGAATATGATGCAGTGGCAGTACAGTGTTATGCTATTCCTCCCAGAGGCCAGTATAAGTCCCACATCAATATTGCCAAGATTAGCTTCTGTAGACATGACCTCCCCCATGAGGTTTATATTGGTGGATTGTCCTACTATGTCTGACCATATCAGCCCCTTCCTCATCAATGTCAGAATGTTGATGTTTTGCCCATCCAACCTTTGTCACTCCACAGCCCACTGCCCACTATGTGCCCAGCATGGTCATGACGTTTCAAATTGCCCTGCTCAGTCACATGCATGTGCCAATTGTGGAGACTCCTATAATGTATTTTATAGGTGCTGCCTGCCCTTAATGCAAGTTCGAATGTGAGGCAGCAGTCCTGATTCAAACTAGGCCTCACTCTATGAGAGGCCAGACAGGAAGCATGATGACAAGGTTTTTCTCTCTCAACTTATTCCAAAACAGTCCTTCACTCTGCTCCACCACTATCTTCACAAAATGTTTCTGCATCTCCCCCAGTATCACTCCCCAATACCCTGAACCATCCTATGTTTACTCACCCTATCATCCAGTTAATTTTGTTTTCCCGTCTAAATCCAGATACTCCAATCTCTACCATTTCCCCAATACCTACCCCCTCATTTGCCGCCGCAGGCAACCTAAACGCTCCACTCCACCCACTATTTCCTACATCTTTCTCTTCTGCTCCTCAGATATTTATCTCCTCTTCTCCTCCTCCTAAGAAAATCTTTCTTTCTCAGTTCTCTTCACCCAACTCCCCTCTAGAAACCCTTCAAAACATCCAAAACTTCCTAAAGATGACCCAAGGAAATACTCCACTCCCTCACCCACCCCCAATGCCTCTGTTCCTATTCCTTCTACATTTAAAGTATTTGCAAATATCCAATCTCCTTCTCATCAAGTTTCCTCCACCCCCCTTCCTCCTACACCCTCCCAACATACCCCACCCTCTTTACCGCTCCCATTTGAATACCCATACGAATCCCCTCTATCACAACAGTGTCCTTCTCCAGACCCCTCCCCTCCAGACATTCTTGCTGATACTTCACTGACTTCCCCAGTCCTCCTTTCTCATCCACCAATTTTTTCTACTCCAACTTCTCCAACAGCCACCTCTGTTTTCCTTGAACAATGTCCCTATTCCTTCCCAAGTCACAGATACAAAGCAATTCACTCAATTGTTTGAGTTAGATCTCAAACCTTTGACATCTAACTCATTTTATCATAATCTTTAATGCTTCTTTATCCTTTCAGACACAATACTTTACCATAGTGCTATATGACCTTTGATGTCTATCACATTCATTTGTTTCAAACATTAAACATTGAAATCCTTTTCTCTTCACTGTTAGTTGCATTTCATATTCATTACTTTTTACCATGTAGCCTATGTAGTTTCAAACCCACAGGACAAATTATGCATATCCATGAATAACTCTAGTAAAATAGAAAAGACCTGAAATCAAACACATAACTTAAAATCATCACTTTATTGGCTGCATACATACTTTAAAGAAAGAAGTACAAATTCATATGACTAGATAAACTTCTGTATACAACTGCCTCTGCATTTTATAAAATCTCTTTCGACGAAAGAATACAATGTATCTTACCTGATTGGTCAAAACAATAGAAATAGTTTAAGGTTTAATCTGAATCCTTTTTTTTTGTTTGTTTGTTTCTTTCTTTCTCATTTTAATTATTTAATTAATTTCTCTGAATAGAATGTGATAGTAATAACTAATGCAAAAAATAAAAAATAAACATGAAAAAGGAATGTTAGTGTATAAGCACTGTACTTCTAATACTACTTTACACCATGCTACAGTTCTTTCATTATTCATTAATAATTCAGCAATGGACAACACATAATAACAGATGCACTGAATAAGGAAAATATTGCATTTCATAAAATACATGAGTGTACACCTGGAAATGGCTGACTTTCATAACACTTTATTAAAAGCACTTCATATGAGAGTTTTATTCATAATTTGTGCTCAACTCTCAAAAATATTTTGAAAAAAGAATTGTTTAAAATATTAGCTGTTTTGTTCATTGATTAAGTATGGTATTTTGATTATAATCTTACTAAGTATTTTTTTAAAGAGATTTATATTGTGTGTATCCATTAGTTTTGTTTCAAAACCTGTTAGAAAGTTAAAAACGATAAGATGATCCCACCCAGGAGAAGATTCAATACATTGTTGATCAGCCATCTGGCATTCATTTTTTTTTATGTAAATGAGAACATAAACATCAAGAGACCATTTCTTAGTTTACAATGTTTTCACACTATACATTATGCTCTTATCAGCTTAAGGCTATATAAACAGGGTAGTGTACATTTCAATCCTCTTCAGGCAGATCAGCCATATTTGTATCACAAGTTGCTCAGATCCTCAATGTATGTATCAAAGGAATGGCTGCACCATATAGCATGATGTACACAGACTTAGACTACTGTAAATATATTCACAGAGGAATGGCTCTTTACTGCAAAGATCATCACACCATTAACAAAAATTATAGCAAGTATAGGTCATTAAAGCCTTAACTCACATCATAAGATAAGCTGCATTTACACTTCATATTGGACATTTCTAGTGTCTTTGTACATAAAAGGGAATAAAATGTAACATAGGGTGTAAACAATTTTTGCCACTGTATGTACTGGAACTTCAGAAAATCAAAAGCACATTATTTCTTTGATCTTACAACAAGAAAGCTATAACCATATATGTACATTATCTTCTACACCTTGTACTATTTGCTATGGATTGCTCTGAGAGAGATAGAGAGATAGATTGATTGAGATTATATAGAGAGGAGAGAGGCGACAGAATTGGAAGCAAAGAGAGAAAGGAGAAGAGAATAGAAGAGGGGATTGGGGGGTGGGAGGGGGGGAGAGGGAGAGGGAGGGAGAGGGAGAGGGAGAGGGAGAGGGAGAGGGGAGAGGGAGAGGGGAGGGGGAGAGAGAGAGAGGGGGAGAGAGAGGGAGAGGGGAGAGGAGAGAGAGAGAGAGAGAGAGAGAGAGAGAGAGAGAGAGAGAGAGAGAGAGAGAGAGAGAGAGAGAGAGAGAGAGAGAGAGAGAGAGAGAGAGAGAGAAGAGAGAGAGAGAGAGAGAGAGAGAGCAGAGAGAGAGAGAGAGTCTGGGGGGGGGGGGAGAGAGAGATTTGAAAAGAAAAAACTACAACCATATAAAGTTAACTGATGGAGCAAAAAAACAGGATCAAATACCTAATATCAAATTTTCCCCAGATATCTAAGCAGTAAATTACTGCATCCTTTAGAATCTAAAAACAACTTCTAAGAAATCACAGTAGCTTCATAATACATTCACTGATTCCTTGTTCATTAGATATACAAAATCACTACCAAAGTCTACCATTCAAATATCAGGTTCACTCCTTGTAACAACAAAACACAGTACAAATCCCTTTTCACCTTCTGAGAAAAACATATAAGAATTCCTGTCTACACTAGCTTGAAACAAATATGAAGAATAACTGGAAGATTAGTATAAAAAGTGAAAAATGACAACCATACAGTGTGAAAATGAAGTATCATAGCATACAAAACAAAAAACATTCAGCATCA